ATTGATACATAAGGAATATTTCAGTACCCAATCTCAACACACAATTTGATGTTCTTTTGCTTTCTGTTATCAGTATCACTTGCGTCCACTTACATTCGACTTGATTCCAACGACATTGCAGTTATAGCTGAAGTTGGAAAGTGTCTATTTGATGATGGAGATTATTACCAGTTTACCATTTCACAAGATAGGTACTCAAATACAATTACCGTCGACTATAAAAAGTCGGCTGACAAAACTTGTACCAAATTTATGACCGTTAGAACTCTTCAAGACGACGAGTACACGATTGTTGGTGATATCCCAGATTACGTCGCTACACATTCCAACACTGGCAATACAAACAGTTGCCCTGTCCTTATTGAGGGTGCCGAGTATTTGAAGTATATATATCCAAATGGATGTATAATAGACTCCGAGTCAACATCACATCTCTATACAATTACATATCCAAAATTATATAAACGATCATTTTCTAATACATTATGTAGTTCCTTTAGTGTTGCTTATACAGAGGAAGAAATAGGAGAAGTGAATACATGTGACACAAATGGGGTATATATCCAAACATTTTTTATTTCTGTTTTGGAGTCCAAATATGTCGCTAAAAATGTAGGATTATTGAAATCTGTTTTTGAATATTCAAAGTGTTACCGATACGACGGGTGGTATATCAAATATGAGAAATCCGCCAATGGAATAAAGAGATATATGTCCCAAAATTCATGTAGTAATTGGGAAGAGGATACAACTTCACAAGAAGTTTTACAAACATTAAAAGAATTGCCGCCATATGTAGTGATAAGACGTGTCTATGATGAAGGCTCTCAGTGTGTAATTTCTGATATAAAGGGTGAGGCTTATATGGAATTGTACCCCAAAACTTGTGTAAAAAATAAATTTGGAGGTTCAGATCGCTATATGGTATTTTCTAATAGATTAATAAAATTCAGTTACAATAATATCAATTGTACTAGTTTATTGGATGACAATACACGAATCCCATTAAGAAAGTGTCGAACTGAGGGTCAAAACAGTGTCATTTACGATACCACATTTGACAAGTTTGAAGAGACCAAATACGTGAAAAAGGACAACACTGTGTATTTCTCAACGATCTTCGAGTTTGGAAAGTGCTTGAAAGATAATAACACGTACTATAAATTTGAGAAGAACGGCACACAAATTATTGCGTTTACTTCCTCAACTTCTTGTGACACATTGAAAGTTGCAAGTGATTCAGTATTGTCTGGTAAAGTGTCTGCTATAATATCTTTGCCGGAGCACGCTGCTATTATGTATAACTACGGATCTCTTGTAAACTGTTCAAGTGAAAATATTGATATGGCGACTCAGTACGTCTTTGATAAATGCTTTGAAGAAGACGGAAAGTACTATAAAGTCCAAGTTGGGATCAGTGAATTAGCAAAACGTGAATATGACAACTCGGCGTGCTATGGAAAGTCCAATACTGTTTGGTTCATTTATATGGACAAGTGTACGACTAATAACAAAGATAATGTCAGAATTACACGACACGAAATACCAGTCGAATCTGCTAAGTATTTATTATACACAGAAGAAGGATATCCAGGCACTTTTTATTTAGAATTTGACAGGTGCACTTTTCTTAGAAAAGAGGGCTTTGATACTTTTAAATTAACTAAAAAAGATGGGAATGTTGTTTTCAAAAAAGGTTCGACTTGTTCGGATATTGATAAAAATGGTTTGGAATGGTACGCACAGCCGTATTTGATTGCAGAGAGCATACCAAGTGACTACAGGTCATCGAACAC